GAGGAACCTCTGTTAACCCATCCTCCCCCATGACATCAGCAATGAGGATTTTGTCACTTCCGGCTATGGTTTGTTTGTAAAGCAGCCAATCAAACTTGGTTTGATCAGCTGCTTTTGAAGAGCAGAAGAGAGATCTGGGGTCTAATAGACCCCAGTTCATTCCATAAAGAGGACCATGCCTGTGATAGCAATAAAGTTCAATAATAATAATAAAAATTAAAGAACATGCATGTGGGTCCCGCACGCATACGTAAATGGTGATCACACCACACTCCCACATGGGAGGTATCACTGCGAACTTTAGAGAGTGCAAATAATTCTAATACCAGACCTCCTGTATAACTCTGAACTAGTAACCTATAAAGGCTTTTAAAGCTTTGCTTATGGATAATTTAATGTACAATTGTTTGTCGCCATTCCACAGACGTGCAATTTTACCAGACACTTTTACCCCCTTCTTGTCCAGGCCAATTTTCAGCTTTCAGCGCTGTCACACTTGGAATGACAATTGCACGGTCATGCAACACTGTACCCATATGAATTTTTCAGCATTTTTTGAGACAGATAAAACTTTTTTGGTGGTATTTATTCACTACTGGGATTTTATTTATTTATTTATTTTTTTGCTATACAATTGCAAAAATTCCAAAAATTTAGAAAAAAGTGTTTTTCTTATAAAATTTAGCAAATAAATAATCTTTCTTCATAAATCTTGGCCATAATTTATTCAGTTATCTTTTTAGTAAAACAAAATAACCCAAATTAGTTTTTAACCAAAAATTATAATTTTTAAAACATTTTTATTTTATATTTTTATATTATTTGTTTGTTTTTTTTAACATACTGTCACTCTAGCAGTACAGTGTCACCATAGTGACACTATACTACTTGTGGGGGGGTGATTTTTTTATTTTTTTTTACACCGATTGCTTTTACACCCATAAAGGCTGTAAAAGCAATCATTTCTCTTTGGCTGCATTCTTGCAGCCATTGAGAAATACTGTGAGAGCTGTGATTGGTCACAGCTTGTCACATGGTACAAGGCTGTTGTGAATAGCCTTGTACCATGTGACCTCTGTGATCAGATTTCACACGTAGTAAGCAATGATGTCAGAATGACATCCTGCTTACTACTATTCATGTGATCACTGATTGGCCAATCGGTGATCACATTTTCAGGACCTCACACAGAGGTCCCGTACAGCGATTGGTGTTCCTCTGGACACAGCGCGCACCAGATCGCGGTGCCGTGCACTCCCAGGGAGTGCGCACAGGCTAAAATGGCAGGCACCGTTATGAACAGCAACCCGCTCCTGCACTGCTCCCGTCCAGCTATATATATATATATATATATATATATATATATATATATATATGGGCCAGACGGGAAGTGGTTAAAGTATGACATGTTAGGTACCAATTTACTCATTGTAACATCACCTTTTATATTTTACCAAAAAACTGGGTATTACTGTATATTGTATTTGTATGCACTAATATTCATTTATGTTTATTCATTCCTGAAATTTTGCATTTAATAAACCACTACACAAATATCATGCAACTTAAAAATTTTAAAATCCACCATTTTATTCTTTACTTTGCTTTCAGAAAAATTATATTGTTTGGTAGATCTAAGTAATTTTCTAGCAAAAAAAACCTGATTTTTACATGATGTGAGATATGTCAGAATTGACCCAGATGACAAGTGGCTAAAGTAGAACTAAAAGCAAAACTTTTTTCATTTTGGATAAAGGAGAGTTATAGCCCGTCCATTTTTTTTTTTTCCATCTGTGTCCCATTGAGATTTTTCTTCAGTTCTTGTCCCATAGCCAAAACAGGAAGTGAGGGGAAACCCCTCCAAAGTGAGGGAATCCCTGGTTGTTACCAGTAATAGTGTTCCCTTGGAATATTTCTGGCTTTATCACTTTTCTGGTGCCAGCCAAAATTTGGAATTGTCACAGCCTTTAGTGCAGCTTTTCATCAAACTGTACTGCATCTCACAATTTTGACCATAACCTAGATGGATAATTAGTGAGAACAAACTGGTGGAAGCAACCACCATACTTGATGTTGCATGTAATTCTTGCTTGCTTAACCTCTTCACGCCGGCAGCATGCAAATGTGCGGCCTCCCGGCGTCTGGGCCTAGAAGCCGAGCGGCCGCTCATTTGTGTTCAATATACAGTGGGGCAAAAAAGTATTTAGTCAGCCACCAATTGTGCAAGTTCTCCCACTTAAAAAGATGAGAGAGGCCTGTAATTGGCATCATAGGTAGACCTCAACTATGAGAGACAAAATGAGAAAAAAAATCCAGACAACCACATTGGCTGATTTGGAAAGAATTTTTTTGCAAATTATGGTGGAAAATAAGTATTTGGTCAATATCAAAAGTTCATTTCAATACTTTGTTATATATCCTTTGTTGGCAATGACAGAGGTCAAACATTTCCTGCAAGTCTTCACAAGGTTGGCACACACTGTTGCTGGTATGTTGGCCCATTCCTCCATGCAGATCTCCTCTAGAGCAGTGATGTTTTGGGGCTGTCGCTGGGCAGCACGGACTTTCAACTCCCTCCAAAGGTTTTCTATGGGGTCGAGATCTGGAGACTGGCTAGGCCACTCCAGGACCTTGAAATGCTTCTTACGAAGCCACTCCTTCGTTGCCCGGGCGGTATGTTTGGGATCATTGTCATGCTGGAAGACCCAGCCATGTTTCATCTTCAAAGCCCTTGCTGATGGAAGGAGGTTTGCACTCAAAATCTCACGATACATGGCCCCATTCATTCTGTCCTGTACATGGATCAGTCGTCCTGGTCCCTTTGCGGAGAAACAGCCCCAAAGCGTGATGTTGCCACCCCCATGCTTCACAGTAGGTATGGTGTTCTTTGGATGCAACTCAGCATTCTCTCTCCTCCAAACTCGACGAGTTGTGTTTCTACCAAACAGTTCTATTTTGGTTTCATCTGACCATATGACATTCTCCCAATCCTCTTCTGGATCATCCAAATGCTCTCTAGCAAACTTCAGATGGGCCCGGACATGTACTGGCTTAAGCAGGGGGACACGTCTGGCACTGCAGGATCTGAGTCCCTGGCGGCGTAGTGTGTTACTGATGGTAGCCACTGTTACGTTGGTCCCAGCTCTCTGCAGGTCATTCACGTGTGGTCCTGGGATTTTTGCTCACCATTCTTGTGATCATTTTGACCCCACGGGGTGAGATCTTGCGTGGAGCCCCAGATCGAGGGAGATTATCAGTGGTCTTGTATGTCTTCCATTTTCTAATTATTGCTCCCACAGTTGATTTGTTCACACCAAGCTGCTTGCCTATTGCAGATTCAGTCTTCCCAGCTTGGTGCAGGTCTACAATTTTGTTTCTGGTGTCCTTCGACAGTTCTTTGGTCTTCACCATAGTGGAGCTTGGAGTGTGACTGTTTGAGGTTGTGGACAGGTGTCTTTTATACTGATAACAAGTTCAAACAGGTGCCATTGATACAGGTATTGAGTGCAGGACAGAGGAGCCTCTTAAAGAAGGTACAGGTCTGTGAGAGCCAGAAATCTTGCTTGTTTGTAGGTGACCAAATACTTATTTTCCACCATAATTTGCAAAAAAATTCTTTCCAAATCAGCCAATGTGATTGTCTGGATTTTTTTTCTCATTTTGTCTCTCATAGTTGAGGTCTACCTATGATGCCAATTACAGGCCTCTCTCATCTTTTTAAGTGGGAGAACTTGCACAATTGGTGGCTGACTAAATACTTTTTTGCCCTACTGTACAAATGCGCGCTCCCAGCTCACATGTACGGTACTCACCGAAAGGTCCCGGTCTCCTCTTGCGATTGGGACCTTTCCCGATCATGTGACCTCCGTGATGTGATTTCACGGCGGTCACATGACACTAAGCCCCGCCGCACCCACCTCCCAGTGCAGAAACTTCTCTTCACACCGGGACGATCCAGCGTGAAGGGGTTAATGTAATATAGCAGGCTGGATTCACTATTATGAATGGACTAATATGGATGAACTATTTTAACAGTATTCTTTATTTTATCTCACAATAATAATTCAAAAAAATATGTTTATTTCACAAGCAGAATATCACTTAGCATTAGACATCATTTTTCACACAAAACAGGTATTTGAAAGCAGAAGTGCTTTTTCTGTCTGAGTGTACAATGCGTCGTACACACACACAGCTCAGTGAACAGTCTCTGCATCATTCTGTGCTGGAATGGACTAACTTCCATTCCGGACCAAATGAAAATGGAAGCAGTGTAAGCTAATGTTGGGAATACTTTCACATTATGGCAAAAACCTTCTGGGGTTCAATTTTTTCTAGCATATACTTTCGCTTTAATTCTTGAAACACGCAATATGAACTGAAGACAGCAACGCTTACTCCACACTGCACCAGCATTTTTTTCATAAAATAACGGCCTTGGTGTCCCATGGAATGTTGTTTACCTTATACTGATGAGAATACATGTGATTGGACTAAAAGGTCATTTTAGCCAACCTACCGCACAGCGTCTGACTGGGCATTGGTAAGGGGTAGGTTCCATTCCAGTCCGCACCTCAGAACTGATTGCCATCACTAAAAGAACAGCCCATATAATAATTGCTTTACGGAAAATATAGGGAGACAAGGAGTGGCCTGAATGACTCCTTTTTTTGCATACTACAGCGAAAAGACTAAAATAGAAGTGTCTGACAAGTAGAATGTAGAAAGCAATTTTATTTACAAGCCCAGATTTCAGCTTTAAGAAACAATAACCTGTGATATTTTGTAGACTGACTTTTATAGTACAAATACAAAATCAAAAATCAGTAAAACAATGTACATGCTGTAAATTCTCCTCTTATCTTTTATTATGTATCACCCTCTCCTGTACAGATGATAGCAACAATATTTTTTGGACACAAAATGAAAAAAAAAGAGTCATGCAAGCCTATAAAGACTTCATTCATTTCTTCAATAGTAAACAGTGGTCTTTCTTGATCTTATCGTTTTCTCTGCTTTTTAAACTTGTATATTGCTGCAGAATTCACAGTTTCCTTCTTCACTTTCACTTTCTGCCTTTTGTCCTAAATAAACAACAAATGCAATTATGAGAGTCTAGATAGTAACCAGTAATAGTAGCCATTACTATACCAAATAAAGCAGAAAAGACAAATAGACCTCAGAGTGGCCCATCCTTCCTCTGCTAAGCAGAGAAAAGCACCATGAAAAGGTATGTAATATTACCTACTGGGCTACCTTTAATACAAAAGCAAGATTAATTTATTGACACACAGACTTAAATTGCGCGATTTGTGTGCATTTTGAGCAAACACGTGATGGGTTAATATTGCAATATTTACCTTAAAGTGGCTGTAAAGGCTCAAGCTTTTTTACCTCCATGCATTCTATGCATGAGGGGAGGGAGGGGCCAGGAGTGCCTGTGGGAGACCTGAGAAGAACAGGATAGAGACAGCTCTGTGCAAAACCATTGCACAGAGCAGGTAAGCATGACTTGTTTTTTTTTTTTTTTAAGTTACCTTTAATATCACTTTAAACAGCGGTTTCACAATGAATCACTGCAATTTGCACATGCAGGGCTTCAAATCCCCAGAATACTGGAGCAGCTGCAAGGATATCAACAGCTCAGCAGCCCTGAAGGAAAGTACAGCAGAAACTGGGGGAGGGAGGGTGTCCAGTCCCATTTTTTCTGTAAAGGTGAACTAACCCTTTAACGCACCTCAAAGGTTTATATCAAGTTGATCACCTTCAGACATAGGAACACTAGTATCTTTGAAAAGAGACGTCATATGAGGAATATGTTCAAGACCCCTACAGTGACAAGATGTCCAGGACTCGTCCACATCCCAACAGGCTGGAATCCACATGAGGATATGGCAAGAGATCAAAAGAAAGGGCTTACCCAACTCTAGAGCAGAAATTCCAAGCCACTAAAACAGGGACAACCCGGTCTTCAGTGCCAGGCATATCAGTCTGTTGAAGGACTGATCCGACAATGACAGTATGTCGAGTTAAAGGTGTCTAGAGTTGAACTGGGCAAACAGGACTGACTTGAAAAAAGGCTACCATCAGTCCCACAACTTTCATGAAGAGGGGAAGAGCTACGTGACTCCTGGGCTGAAAAGTCTGAGCCTGGGAGCAGAGAATTTCTCCAGTGTCTAGGATAAAACCCAGATACTCTAAACGATCAGTTGATTCCACCAGTGACTTCTGAAAGCTAAACTCCAGGGTAAGTAAAAATCTTCTATGCAGTGGGGCTGCCCCCCCCACACTGCAAGAGTTAAGTGTTTGTTTAGGTCTGGGGCAAAGAGCTGTTTTCCTTATCCTCTTCTCCCAAAATCTCCCTCCAGACTGCAAGACCAGTCCCCCCACAGCCTCTTCTTCCTTGCTTTGGCAGTCACTGATCCCCTGATGTCAAGTCTAATGCAGAGCCTACAGAGCTTTATTGAATGTGAGGACACCACGGAACAGTCCACTACTAGGGTGTAGGGGACTACAGGAGAGTGCTGGTTGCTGAAGGAGTTGATGATCAAGTAAAGTAAAACTGCTTTTAGCAGCCCCTTAGAGCTAAACAAGCATTTAATCCTTGGGGCAGCCCCACTGCAAGCATTTTTCCTCTCCTTGCCTTGGAAATTGGCTTGAAGGTTCAGGACCCAGCCAAATATTCACAAGTTCTGAACTTTCAGTAACAGTCAGCCATAATTTGTGCCAACTGTTCCCTCAATATCTCACAATAGAGATGCCCTGGACGTGAAAGAGGGCGAGTACAGGGTCCAGCATTTTGGTGAACACTTGTGGAGAAGAGCCTTGGCCAAATATTTTGAGAATGACACAAATATTAATTTACCTGCAAGGAAACACGTGCAGTCATCATTGCTTTGCACAAAAAGGGATTCACAGGAAAGGATATTGCTGCAACTAAGATTGCACCTAAATCAACCATTTATTGGATCAAGAACTTCAAGGAGAGAGGTTTATTGTTGTGAAGAAGGCTTCAGGGCGCCCAAGAAAGTCCAGTAAGCACCAGGACCATCTCTAAAGTTGATTCAGCTGCGGGATCGGGGTACCACCAGTGCAAAGCTTGCTCAGGAATGGCAGCAGGCAGGTGTGAGTACATCTGCACGCACAGTGAGCCGAAGACTTTTGGATGATAACCTGGTGTCAAGAAGGGCAGCAAAGAGGTTACTTTTCTCCAGTACTACCATCAGTCCTGTGTTATGCTAACAGTAAAGCATCCTGAGACCATTCATGTGTAGGGTTGCTTGCTCTCAACCAAGGGAGTGGGCTCACTCACAATTTTGCCTAAGAACATAGCCATGAATAAAGAATGGTACAAAAACATCCCCCAAGTGCAACTTCCCACAACCAACCAAGAACAGTTTGGTGATGAACAATAACTTTTTCAGCATGATGGAACACTTTGCCAGGCAAAAGTGATACCTAAGTGGCTTGGTAAACAAAACATTGAAATTTTGGCTCCATGGCCAGGAAACTCTACAGACTTTAATCCCATTGATAACTTATGGTCAATCCTCGAGAGGCGGGTGAACAAAAAACCCCCCCACAAATTCTGACAAATTCCAAGCATTGATTATGCAAGAATGGACTGCATTCAGTCAGGATGTGGCCCAAAAGTTGATCGACAGCATGCCAGGGCAAATTGCAAACGTCTTGAAACAGAAGGGTCAACACTGGAAATATTGATTCTTTGCATAAACCTAATGTAATCGTCAATGAAAGCCTTTGATACTTATGAAATGCTTGTAATATACTTCACCATACCATAGTAACATCAGACAAAAAACATCTAAAAAACAATGAAGCAGCAGATTTTGTGAAAATAAATATTTGTGTTATTCTCAAAACATTTGGCCAGGGCTGTAGATCGGACAAATGGTAGGGCCATGAAGTGAAAGTACTGGAGACCCACAGCAAAGTGAAGGAACCGCTTATTAACTGTAAAAAAGGGACAAGTAGGTACACTTACGTCATGTCCACAGAGAACATGACAGACTTGGCAGATTCCATGTAGAATTTTCTGGGCATGAATGAAGACATTTAGTGCCTTGAGATCTGCGATAGGGCAGGTGCCCTCTTCTGGTTTGGAAAACTGAACAGGTCGGAGTAGAACCCATATAACATTCCTCCACAGATACTGGAGCAATGACCCTTTGCTCCAAAAAACTTGCAGGGGCTGCATGGAGATCTTCTATGGGTCTGGTAACACAGGCATGTTGGAATACAAAAAATGTGAAGGGGGCAGAAAAATGGAAGTCTAGCCAGTAGCCCCCTGTAAACCACCTCCCTCTCCCAAGCATCTGAGATGTTGGCTGATCAAATGTCCACAAAGCCTTACACACGTCCCCCAGTCTGTAAAGCGTCTCTGTCTATCGTGGGCAGTATGGCATTCACTTCCTCCTCCTTGTTTCTCTAGGTAACATCCACTGTGGCTGGGCTCCTGCCTGAGCCTGTATCTCCAGGAATGTAGCAAGAAAGTAACTTAAATAACAAAAAAAAAAAGACAAAATACCCCTTTCTTGCATAGTATCACTGTGCTTTTATTAAAAAAAGGCTAAAATACCAGTCACATGTATTTGCAAGAGAATAAGCAAAAAATATGTAGTGCCAACAAGGTATTCCCATCAGGGGCTGGCTCCCTTTGGCAGTAACCCCAGACAATGGAAAGATTGTGCTTGTGCTATATCCCAATAAATTTTAAATGGAATATACATCTTCATCAGTGATTATTCTCTTACGTGTGAGTAGTAGTATTTTAATTTTTTTTTTTTCAATAAAAGCACAGTGATATTATTCAAGGAAGATGTCTTTTGTCTTTTTTTTTCCCATTAGGAGTTCCTTTCTTGCTACATTCCTGCAGAAACAGGCTCAAGCAGGAACCAAGCCACAGCACAGCAGTGGATGTTATCTGGAGAAACAAGAAGGAAGTGCGGCCATACGGTCTATGATGGAAAAATACACATTACAGGCCCATATGCGGACTGATGAAAGGATTTCCCTGTCTCTATTATAGAGAAGTAGTCACATTCCTGGGATTTCTTCCAGACTGAGATATTGCTACATTTATTATTATTTTTTAAAGATTTATCTGCTATATTTTCTAATTTAGACTACGAGATATGCTACTTGTCACAATCTTCAAACTGATACATGTCCATAGAAAGATCTACCAGGTCTTTTGTTTTAAGTTGTACTATTTTTTCAGCAAAGAGCACTGCTGTGTGTGAGCCATTGCAATGTGTTTCCTTTCAGTGTGCGCTGCAATCAGCTGAAACCTTAACATTGTGTAGAGCATTCACATATTTAACTTATGGATATATGGATGTGTAGATGTATATGTATGGAGATGTGTAGATATTTGTACTATTAAGAGGACGGTTGTTCTTTTATTACATCTTGGAGTTGCATAGTGGAAAAAGCAGTGTGATAATATATCTGCACTCAGTTGTTGTAGTTGATAGAGGGAGAGCACTGAAATCACGAGAATGTTCCAATGAGAAGTAAAGAATAGACTAGGCTGGACTGTGAAGAGCTTTATTGAACTGTTATTACTGGGAAGCGCTGACTTTTCTTTATGTTCTCAGCTCTATCATAAGAACCCAGGTGAATAAGTGTGCATGATATCTTCTCTGGTAATTGAAATATTAGTATGAGGTGGAGTGACCATTAGACTGTAATAGCACACAATATTAACCACCTCAATACCAGCATGCTTCTTCATTTCCCCAAATTTGCAGCGAAAAACAAAAGTCACTACTTCCCCAAAATTGGTCATTTTGGGGGTGTTCTCCTGGCATTTTTATTTTAAACAGAAAGTAAAGGAAACCTTTTTGGTCAAAAGGTTTGTTTTATTTTTCCTATATATAGTAAAAAAAGAAAAACAGTGGTGATCAAGCAACACTAAAAAAAAAAAAAAAACTCTATCTCAAAAATATATAAAACTTCATTTGGGTGCAGTTTTGCATGACAAAGTCATTGTCAGTCAGCTATTACAGTATTGAAAACTTAAAAATGGCTTTTTACAAAAATTGTGTTGTTACAATGTATTGGGGGTTTTTTTTTGCTTGTTTTTTTCAGCTTTTAAAATGACGTTTAACTCTATGCATGATTGCATAGTGCCATGCTGTGCTTTGATAAAGTGTATAACTGCATAATTTTAGAACACACACACCAATGCAGCGTACATGTGGCGCATGGTGTCACCCCAACACATAGGTGAGAAGCGATCTACAATTCTTTAATGGGGTGCAACATACTGGTATTTAGCTGGTTAAAGTAGACCTTTTTCCCTCAAAATCTAGGTAAAACAAAGCAGCTCAAAAATCCCCTATTGATCTTTACATCTCTCCCTTATGCCAGCAGGAAGATTGAGAGAGCAGGTTACACAAATACTGAAGCACACTTGCAAAATTTTTCTTCACGTGGATAAAAAAAAAAAAAAATAAAAAAATATCCCTTAAGAATTATCTGAAGATAAGACTTCCATGTATAGCCACACAGCTGTAACATAAAAGAGGACTGCTACAGTCCAAAAAAAAAAAATACAAAAACCCACAACAAATTTCAGCTTTAAAAGCAGTGTCTTAAAGGTTATAAAAAAAGATTTCATTATATTAGGTATGTTTCATGACTACTGTAACAGGTACGGAACTACAATGTTATTTCCTTACCAGCAGATCTTTCCGGCTTTGTATTTTCTGAGAAACCACAAACATTTTTTTTTTCTCGTTTTATTCTTTGGTTAAGAAGGGAGTACTGTTGCTGCCTCTGTTTAGCCAGCTTCTGTTTTTGAAAAGAAAAAACAAGCAATTAATACCCAGATACATAAATCAGTAAAGTCAGACAAAATTTAGATACAGTACTGGAAATCTTGGTCATACAAGTTTTGTATTTGTAAGCATTTTATATAAAAAGGAAACTGCAACTTCTTATTTCACTGCTCTAGGATTCTGCTTCAAGTACTGAAAGCAGCGGAGCGTGCTTTACCACCAAAATCTTACCTCCTGCGCATACCCCAGTTTCTCCTGAGTATTCTTCTCCAAGCTCAAAGCTTATTTTCCCATATTCATTCAAGCAGTGAGAGGGCTCCTATAGTACACAGAGCTTGCTAGCCAGTTTTCACATCAGCAGCATACATTCCTTTACTCCTCTGTCAGCCACAGTATGTGCATTAACCTCTCACTTGGCTAGCTGGCTACAGTGATGGGGTTAAAACTCTATCAAAATGTAAAAGTGTCTTGAAAAAGCCCAGCCTGTAAAGAAAAGGGCTAACTCTTACCGGTCCCGCACCAATTTGTTGCAGAGCTTTAAATGCTGAACATTTTTTAACTAGTCACCCACTGCCCGTGATGGTCCCCTCAGCCAATTCATACGTGTCCTGTAGGGACACAGTGGTCATTGGATGAAACCATGGAACACAGAGGGCAAACAGGCATCATACATTCCAGAAAATGCTGAAGATTATTTAGTAAGCTCAGTACTGCAACAGAATGAAGCTAAGAGGAGTCAGCGACAAGGCAGGCAACGATTAATCCTTTTCTTAAAAGGTTGAGTGTTTTTCTAATTATTTTTATCCAAAAACAGAGTCACTTTAAGCTATCCATTCTTTGGATATGTTAAGTTATACAAATAAAAAGCCCAGTCTTCAGTGTATTTACATGCCTGCACTATAGGCATCTGGACATATGAATTTTAAACCTGCACTCCATGAAAACTGTACTGAGACAGTTTTCTCAGAAAACTGAGACCGTTTTCTATAGTTGACCTGTCAAAAATTCAAACTGCTTGACTGACATGACTTCAAGTGATTCCAATTCAATAGACTGAACAAAATTGTTCACAATCAGTAGCTAAAAGTACTGAAGCCAAATATCTGGTCAATCAAGATCTGTAAATTTAGTCACTTTTATTGTGTGCGAGCAATTACCACACAATTTTATTACATGCAAGAAAATGAAGCCTCTCCATCAATATATTTAAGTGGCAAACATTCTTACTTTTAACTGTTTGGAGTTTTCAAGTCCCTTCACTGTCTGCTTGCGTAAAGTTTCCAGCGTGGGTCTGTTATAAACTCTTTTCACCAATTCAGGGGCGGTGTTTAGATGATCTGCCAAGTCAAAGTTTCGCACTAAAACACAAACAGAAGTCGGTTACCAATTAGGACAACAGAACTGGTCCTAAAATACAAGACAGTAAGTCAACACATGAAAAAGATGCCTTCTTGCCTTCTTTCTTAGTGTCCAAAAAGAACGTGTGTTTGTTTTAAAGGTTTTCCTTGAACATCCAGCAGGTGGAGCTCAGATTTCAGACGCTCAATTTTCTGCACACACAAAAATCAGCCTTGTGATTAGCTTGCATTATACATCATACAATTGCTATGCTTTTTTTTCTTTTTTTTTATTCTTTTCAAAAAAATACTATGGATCACGTCTAGGCAATATATGCTGTCACAAGTAGTCTCCAATAGAAGGGAAAAAGACAGGGTGGCAATGCACAAGCATAGTTATCACCCCAAAGAAACAAAAATGCTCCAGAGACAAGGTTGTCTCAACACACACACACACTTCTACTTTTATTTTACAGTTGTCGCCCCATAACAGGACGTGCCTGAACAAGACCCTTTCATGGCAGGCATCAAGAATTTTAATGAATATTGCACATTTAGAAAATATTGTACATTTTTAAAATTGCATTACGTGTTAATGCTTGGTCTGTTTTGACCCCTAATATTTCCCAAAAAAACCCTTCGCAAACTGTCTGAATTCAGGGCCTTTCATCCATCTCTATACACATGAAATCTCTAAGATGTGCAGTTACAGCCAATTTGTACTGACTGCTCGCAAACACCTGCGACTCATAAATATGCTCCTTCTTGAAACTCTACAGCCATTTGTGACCATGTTAAGGTCTTAAAAAAAAACTCACAAATGGCGCATTGCTGTAATGCAAGGGCCCATTTACACCAGCAGGCATGTATTATGGTGTGCAAAATGAGCGGCACTGTTGTGCATTGTAAATTGTAACTTTTTTTTTTTTTTTTTTAATTACCTTCTATGCATGACAGCATGTTGCCACGATGTGTAATGCACTGTGTTTTTGATAAAGTGTATGCCTGCATAATATTAGAACACACACTAATGCAGAAATTGGCGTGAAGCCAAACTCAGATTTGTAGTGTAAGTTGCTTATTTACAGTTCTGTGCATCTATACAGTTTTATCTTTTAAATGTTGTGTTTGTGTGAAAATACTATTTTTTTTCCATTTATATCTTTTATTAAATTTTCTTTTTTTTTCTTAAATGAAAATACTGTTTTGATAATAAAAATTTGCACAACTATTATGGAATCTACAAAATCAGTAGCACTGTGTTTTTATTCTATCAGCCCTGTGCTTTCAGAAAATGTATGGTTCAGGGGGGAATCGTTTACAAACTCTGAAAATTATAAGTGAGAAATAAAAGAAAAATTTGCAAAAAACTGGTCTTGCCACCTGTGGTGCGAAGTGGAGCAAACAGCCTGGCAGCAAAACATTTAAAACAGTATTAAAAACAGTATTAAACCCAAATCCAAAGAGGTGGTGGCTGCATTAAAGGTTTTTTTTAGGCTTTTTTTCTCCTTTATTTCACCTGTTAATCATGCCAGCAACTCACTTCCTGTCTTATGGTGCCTCCAGTCTGAACAGAGGAGCAATGGAGGCACCTTTAGACAGCAGCACTGACAAACTGGAATTAACTTTACATAAGTGACTAAAAAAATGAAAGCAGAACCCAGCTAACACTTTTTAAGCAGTTACAGCAACTGTTTTTTCATCCTTTTGGGATAAAGGTTTTTAATAAATAAAAGCAGACCATCACACCAGTCAGTGTAAAAGCAGGTTTAAAGCTTAGGAAACTCACCTTGGCTTCTGCTACTCTCTTCATCTCAACATACTTAATGTCCTGTGTCCTCATGATTTTAAGCTGTTCGTCAGTGACTTCTTCTGACTTTTGTTTTATCACATGGGCCCCATCCTTAGAAAAGAACAGTGAGATTTCAAAATCTGTGAGGACATATTTTTGAACAATGAATCCTTTCCCCACATCCATATGTGAGGGCATGTCAGAAAAAGCCTTCAATAAAAAATGAAAAATTACAAAGCTGAATTACATATGTTAAAATGAAATTTGTAAAGGATCAGAAACTGCCAGAAACGTTTTAGCCTTGCAATATTTGTGAACTTCAGAAAACATGTTATATTTGAAAAGGCTAAATAGTTTGAAAGATGATACAATTTAGTTATTATATGTTAAATAATTATCCAATTACATTTCAGTGTACCTTGTATGTAATTTTTACAACATGCTTTAATATGTTTAGCAGTGCGGAAAATGCTGCGCCTGAATGACATGCAGCTCCTTATAGAGTTAGGTGAGTTATACACATTAGGATCTCTGCTGTTCAGTCCTGCAGAGTTACATTTGGACAATTCAGTAGGAAGTGGCTAAAATCCAAGCCATGTATAGCCAGCAAAAGCCTAAGTAGTGCAGTCCTCTTTTCCACTTGAATTTAACATAGCTAGTTTAGAAGAACACAACCCAGTTCTCTCTTAAACTAGAGATAGAGTGCATAGCTGCTTTACCGAAAAGAAACCTAGGTCATAGTATGTAGTCAGTTCAGCTGCTGCACTTAATTCTTCTGTACATTGGTGTTATGTTAAACAATTAGACTTACCTTCAATTGTGTAGATGTCATTTTAAAGTAGAATTCATCTGGATTCTTTTCGAGGGTTTTCTTGCGCAAGGCATTGAGTGTGTTTCTTTTCTTCTTAAAATCCCTGAAAACAGTAACAAAATGTATACAAACAAGATAGGAAAACTCATACAAATGAGCGCAGAGAGGCCACTCCAGGTGGAAACATGTGAACAGTTAATCATGAGCTCACCACTGCTGCCTTGTTAATCATATGCATGATGAAGAGAACTGGAAAAAAAGGCGCTGTGGAAAATGCTCTCAGACAAGCACCTTAGTGGAGGTGCATCTTTATTGGGTGAGATAAAGTAGCAAGTATAATAAAATTAACCAGCCTGAAGTGGACAGTGTGATTCCAATGGACGGCCCGTCCGCTCTGAGGGGAGCTGAGATCAAAGAATGCTCCTGTCGGCTTCAAATCACGTGGTGTCAGCGTACCAGCGTCCTGGGTGGTGTCACCATGGCAAACGAAGGCAGTGTCCGGCGTTGGCTTCAGCTGGGAGCATATGTGGGGTTACCAAGACGACATGTTTCGCGCAGTTGCGCTTTGTCAAGTCTCTTGACAGGAGCATTCTTTGATCTCAGCTCCCCTCAGAGCGGACGGGCCGTCCATTGGAATCACACTGTCCACTTCAGGCTGGTTAATTTTATTATACTTGCTACTTTATCTCACCCAATAAAGATGCACCTCCACTAAGGTGCTTGTCTGAGAGCATTTTCCACAGCGCCTTTTTTTCCAGTTCCATACAAACAAGATAGCATACCCACAATGGCTAGATGCTGAGCAGTGCCATCCACAGTCCAGTAAAAAAAAAAAAAAAAAAAAAACACAACTGCACCCTACAGCATCTTGCAACTTAACAATAACAGACTTCTTTGCTGTAGACATGAAAAAAAAAAAACAACATGTGTGGTCATTATCACAACACTACTGCATAACAAGGAATCCTATTTTAACATATTATAAGGGTGACCGAGTTTCACTATCCATGCAGCCCAGTGCTATGGTCCTGGGGTTTGAAAATTATGCTGCACTTCTCTTCTTTCCCTGGGAATGCAGGAAAGGATCAGAGAGGTTCTGATTGGTCAGCACCAGCACATAACCAATCTGAACTGCAGTGATCTATACTGGCATCCCTACTGATCTAAGAGTAAGAACACAGCGTTTTTCAAACCCCATCACAGTTGCATGGAGTGTAAAATTGTATCACCCACTAAGGTAAGTGCAGCAGGGACCAGTTGGGGAGTGTTTCTGAAAGGTGAACTATCCCTTTAAAAGTACAATAAAGAGAAACGTGCTGTGTATAGAGCCCCCTAACGCTAGACAAAGCATGACAGTATTATCGCTAAAAAAAAAAAGCCTTTAAGATAAGTCCAAAAAAAAATATTGCAGGTATGAGGTGTCTGTACATACATGCAGTAGCTTTCTAAAACCGAATGACAGGCAGCACTCCAACACAAATAAATAGCTTTAGAGCCACTGTGTAACTCATGCCTGCCCCCACCACAGACTCTTCTGCTATAATAGACAGCCAAAACTGATATGCACAAGAAAAGCAAGAGCTGGGGAGCTTCAGTGCCACCCGAAAGTGCCAAAACTTTGCCTTAGGGCCAGTTCACACTACATGCATTTCAGATGATTTTTTTTCTGCATCCAAAAACGCACAGAAAGTAGCTTATATGGTTGTCAATGTCATAGTTCACATCAGTGCATTCCAGTTGTAGGGAAGAAAAAAAAAAAAAAAAGTAGAACATGATGCATTTTGTGCACAGAACTGTACTGGAACATGGTAAAACGCATAAAAAAAACTCACCGCAACACACCAAAATGCACTGGAATGCACATGTCCATATTTAAATTGAAGAAAAAAAGGAGGGGAAAAAAACATGAACTGGAATGAATAAAAAATGCATAAAAAATGCACCAGAACGCGCCAAAAACACGCATGCAAAAAACGCATCCGGATCGCATCTGGACTGTGTTTCTATAGTGTGAACCGGCCCTTGGAGAACAACCTGGAATTCATTTATGACAGGAAGGTTTGTAAGGCCATGGCAGGTACCTATAGGTGCCTGTACTGTATACCTGCATCATTTATTTCCTTTTATTCGGATTAGATTTAAATAAAACAGACTGTCCTCTAAAGAACTATATTTTGTACACTGCATTAGCTTGAGAAATGCCTTTACTGGCATAAGACGTGAATTAAAAACAGTTGATGCAAATTATATAATTTCATGTCAGAAGGTCCTGGCCAAGAAGCTGAATGGACAGCTGACAGGTACTCATAGATAACTTAAAGCTGTTTTAACAAATAGTAAGTTTGGATTTGGGGTGATACCAGTTATTGGGCTACTAGAAAGATTGCAGTACAAGCTTTCGGGGCACTATGGCCTCCTCTTCAACCAATAAGCTTTGGTTTTGCCTGAAGGAAAGTTTCGCATCCCTCGAAATCTGTGCACTACAATTTTTTTTTGGTCTCTAATAAATGGTATCACCCTAAATTCAAACTTCTACTTTTGTCAATGGATAATATGGTAAAACGCTCCGTTGCTGCTATGGTAGCAAATAACTATAGCAAATAGTTGCGGGTTGGAGAAACCCATGAATTGGATTAGTCATTTATGCAGGGATGTCAGCAACTGGAAAAACAAAAAAAAAGTTGAGAAAATACGGGGAAATACCACTAACATTATTGGATACTAGGTATGAGAAATTTAATAAGATTTCAAAATGAAAAGGTTGTAGTGAAACCTATAATTTACTTTGTAGCACCAGTAATTTTGGTAGCAAAATTCAACAGCACATACAAGCCTTCAGGATTATTGTCATCAACTGTTTGAGGCTGTTTACAGAATTTCTGCTATTACTGGCTACAATACCAGGCAGCAACAAAACACTGGTGTATGCTGGTCACTAGGCACTGTACTGGAAACCAGGATAAGTTAATGAAGTTGGCAATTCTGTAGCTAGGTTTGTGAAGTCAATCATTTGCGACTGAACTACAAATTGTCAGAATCACTCCAACACAGACTGTTCATTGAACGCAGTTTAATTTGCGAGTAATACTGTAGTGCTTTTAAACCACTTTGTGTGACAGTTCGCTTTTTGTTCCCTACCTGAGAAATCCCAGGATAAAGCAAATTACTAACATTTTCTGAAACTAAATTTTCATACTGCATAATTACTATTAGTGAAAACATTGTACTTACTCAGCACGGAGCTTGTAATCTTTCTTCTTCTCCAAAAGCCCCAAATTTTTGCGGAAGCCAGGCTAAAATAATTAGAAACAAAATAATTAAAGAGGACACTATTTAAAAGTGAATAACAATGGAACACAGAAGTGCTTATTTCACTATTCATTCATAAAATGCAGGCCATAGTGTGCCACGAGATGTTCTCTACATAGTACTGCAGAACATTTCATGATAGAAGAGGCAAGTCACATAACCGGGTTTCTCCTCCTGGCACTTTTATTTATTTCCCTGTTCATTAAAATGAATGAGGATTTTCTTGCTTCAGAGTCCCAAACCAAGTGAAGTATAAAAACACATGTAGAAAGAACAGCGCTGTGTTTTCTAAGGCTAGGTTCACACTAATGCGGTGCAGTACATCGCATGTGATTTGCAAAAGAACCACACCGCATTCCTGTGCAAATCACATGCAATTTGTGTGCGTTGCGATTGGAGCCATACATTATGTATGGCACAAATCGCACCGCACCAGCACCAAAAAGGTGCAGGACCCTTTTTTGGGTCTGCACTAGAATCGGATCACATGGGTATTCACACCTATGTGATCCGATTCTGCACATCGCACCGCGTTTTGCGGACCAATTTCGGGGTGTTGTTGACTTAACATACACACCCGCATCGGTTCGCATGAACAGGGTGCGATTCTGATGTGGCGCGGAATTCACACAGAAAATGCTGAGAATCTGCACAGCATCAGTGTGAACCCAGCCTAAATGTGATGTCAGTATGTTTTTCAGGGTTTGCTCACACTATGTGCGATGAATTGCAGTATTCTGCACTGGATTAACGTCAGTCATTGCAAGGACACGCAGAAATTTTTCTATGTATCATCTTCACACTACAGTGCTGGTGTGATGTGCTTTGTGGTGCAGCACGTAAAGATGCAGATACTGGATGACACCACATCACTGCAATGCTGTGTGGAGAAATTAACTGTCACTTCCCGAACGCTGTCATGGGAAAAAGTGCATAGTGTGGTACACTTGCCTTAAAAATTAGCGCTTCTCCAACACTGTGTGTGTTGCATTTCCTGTCCTCTGCCCTGCTACTCCCAGGATCCCAGGCATCTTCTCCAGCCAATGCGTGACCACTGATGATGCATAGGTTATGCATTCACACAGCAGTTAAAACATCCCTAGCACCAATGATGGCATACGGATACCAAAGATGAGCTGAGAGGGTATACTGCAGGGCGCACTGTATCAGTGTACAGTAAAACTGATAGGTGAAAGGGGAAAAACTTTTTTGGTAGAAGAAAACTGCATGTCTCTTTTGCCAAAAAAACCCCAACCTCCTAGTATTTTTTTTTTATTACTCAATTCCACTTTAAGTACTATAGAGTACTGGAAGAGAACAAGTGCAAAGGTGAAAAGTTCAAATTCACTTGCTGCATGCTTGATATGGACTTGTATCTTCTGAAGCAAGAAAAAGCCAGGCAACAAGCAGAAAGAAGTCAGCAAATGAAGCCTACATGTTGCTTTTAGTCTCTGTAAACATATAAGTTGCTACAATGTTATTACATTTATAACCCAATTCCAGCTTATGTAACTGTTCTGCCTTCCACAGGGAAATTCATTATGCAATATTAGATTAGGCCACTAGATGGAGCAATAAATTAACTGTTTTACAGAAACTAGAGCATATTTAGCTATGAGCTAAGAGTTAGGGCTCATGTACAGGACACGGGGCGTGAGGGCTCATGTACACGGGGCGTGGGGGCTCATGTAAGGGGCACGGGGTACGCGCGGGGGGCTCATGTACGGGGCACGGGGGGGGGCTCGCGCGCGGGGGCTCATGTACGGGGCGCGGGGGCTCATGTACGGGCGGGGGGCGCGGGGGCTCATGTGCGGGGCGCGGGGGCTCATGTGCGGGGCCTCATGTGCGGGGCGCGGGGGTGCGGGGGGCTCATGTGCGGGGCGGGGGGGGGGGCTCATGTGCGGGGGCTCATGTGCGGGGGGGGCGCGAGGGCTCATGTGCGGGGCGTGGGGGCTCATGTGCGGGGCGCGAGGGCTCATGTACGGGACACGGGGGCCGAGGGCTCATGTACGGGACACGGGGGCCCGAGGGCTCATGTACGGGACACGGGGGCCCGAGGGCTCATGTACGGGACACGGGGGCCCGAGGGCTCATGTACGGGACACGGGGGCCCGAGGGCTCATGTACGGGACACGGGGGCCCGAGGGCTCATGTACGGGACACGGGGGGCCCGAGGGCTCATGTACGGGACACGGGGGCCCGAGGGCTCATGTACGGGACACGGGGGCCGAGGGCTCATGTACGGGACACGGGGGCCCGAGGGCTCATGTACGGGACACGGGGGCCCGAGGGCTCATGTCCACGGGGCGTTTGGAAAACTCTTCTGAACAATGGAAACTGACTGCTGGAAAACGTAAGTTAAAAAAAATGTCAGTTTAGCCGCGTTTGCATACCGCGTTTAGCTGCGTTTGCGTTTAGAAGCGTTTTTAAAAGATAACCTCAGGAGACCTTCCAAATGCCCAGAATGCACTGAAAAATAGTACATAATTAATGATTTCAGACATTTTGAGAGAAATAGAGAGAGCAAAAGCAGAGAGATCAGTATGTGTTGAGATGACCTGTCTTTTCTGGTTGTATTCACTATGGATCCCATCATGAGCATAATGCATCACTAACTGATTCACATCTTTTATTTGTTTGGGTTACTTATTGCACCACAACAGCCCGCTGACTGGACCCATGTTTTTTACTAGTACACCACAAGTCATGATGGTGCAATAGAGCACACTTCAGTGCAGATGCGTTGTGAAGGTGTGTTGAGGTGTCAATGGCATCATAGCAATCGGACATATGTAAAGTGTGTTACTGTATTGTGTTGGTGAGAACAGGTCCTTCACTATGTCAGTGCTGTGTTTTGAGCATTATAATGTGACAGCCTGGGCTCACAGGAATTAAGTTATATGATGCTCGTTGTCATTCTACCTGGAAGAAGGCCTGGGCTAAAACACGGAGGGAGCAGCGAGTATGCAGGGGACAGTGCTGTAGAGTGAGAAGGTGAGTATAGCAGCAGAAGTTGCTTTTTTTCCTTTTTAAATGTGCATGGCTGTACCCATTTTGTCCTTGTTCTGTCTTCCTACACATTTCTCTGTGTGTGTAGCTAAACATTTATTATTTTGGGGCAAAAGGTGAACTTTTCCTTTAATACATATTCCCATCATTCTTTGAAAAAGAGAGATGCATCTTGGGAACTCAAACTCCAGTTTAAAGGAGAAGTTCACCTTTGGAACATGTCACATGTTCCACCTGTTTTTAGTAACATGTTCCCATAGCCGCAGCAGAGTCCGCCGCCCCCCTCCCTCTGACAAATAGTATGCGGGAAACGTCTCTACACGGCAGTGTCACTCATTCACAGTGTTCTGTGAATGAGTGCCTACAAGTCCCCACAGCTTTAGGGGCTGTGGGCTTGTAGTTTTCAATGAACTACCATGGCGCTATGAAGCGCTGTGGTAGTTCATTGAAGCTTCCTTTCATATCTGCTTAACCATACATCCAGTACAGCAACAATATATTCTGACAGGTCTGCAGGAAACCTGCATGGCATCATCAGCGATCTACTCATAGCTGGTGCGATGCTCTAAGGCTCCTTTGGACAAAAATAATAAATGCACATTTTTTTTACCTGCAAAAAAATGTGCATTTATTATTTTTGTTCAAAAGGTGAGCTTACCCGTTAAGCACTGTGGGAAAGGAACTAGCCATAATTCTCCGCAGCAGGTCATGGACTGAACTTACATTTCTTACAGGCAGCATCGCTGGTGAGCATGGAATTGTCATCTGCGGCTTAATAGTTTCATTGTGTTTGTATATTTCATTTATTTATTATATGTAATCATCTTTTTTTGTTTATCTGTTTTTTCTAATAGTTTTGCCGTATCCTGTTTTGTTAATAAAAGTTTCAAGATTACATTCAGTCTGGCTTATTGCAGATTAAGAGGGTTTAGCTGCATGTTGAGCTACACACACAGAGAAACGTGTAGGGAAGACAGAACAAGGACAAAATGGGTACAGCCATGCACATTTAAAAAAGAAAAAAGCAACTTCCACTGCTATACGCACCTTCTCACTCTACAGCACTGTCCCCTGCATACTCAATGCTTCGTGCTTTAGCCCAAGCCTTCTTCCAGGTAGAATGACAACGAGCATCATACAACCTACTGCCTGTGAGCCCAGGCCGTCACACTATAATGCTCAAAACACAGCACTGACATAAAAAAAGGACCTGTTCTCACCAGCACAATATAGTAACACACATTACATATGTTCAATTGCTATAATACCATTGACACCTCAACACACCTTCACAACGCATCTGCACTGAAGTGTGCTGTATTACACCATCATGACTTGTAGTGTACTAGTAAAAAACATGGGTCCAGTCATTGGATGTTGTAGTGCAATAAGTAACCCAATCAAATAAAAGATGTGCATCAGTCAGTGATGCACGATATACTGGACACCGAAAATTATTGGCCGAAAATCGAGTTATCGTTTTTTTTAAAAGTGTGCTGATAGTTGATTTCCATGAAAAACAAGCAAAAACCGCGGCCCGCTCGCTCGCTTCCAATCAAAACCGCGGCCCGCTCGCTTCCAATCGCTTCCAATCAAAACCGCGGCCCGCTCGCTTCCAATCAAAACCGCGGCCCGCTCGCTTCCAAGCAAAACCGCGGCCCGCTCGCTTCCAAGCAAAAAACCGCGGCCCGCTCGCTTCCAAGCAAAAACCGCGGCCCGCTCGCTTCGCTTCCAAGCAAAACCGCGGCCCGCTCCAATCAAAACCGCGGCCCGTTCGCTTCCAATCAAAACCGCAAAACCGCGGCCCGCTCGCTTCCAATCAAAATCGCGGCCCGCTCGCTTCCAATCAAAATCACATCCCATTTTTGTGTTTTGCTTTCACTAAAAGTTAATTTGCATTATTGGAATTGTATTTATTAAAATCGTACTCCTTTAAATAAATGATATTAATTATAAAGTTGAATATAATATAATTATCTATATAAAAAAAAAATTTTTCTTTCAGCCTGAATTTTCGGTTTCGTTCCAGAATTTTCATTTCGGTGCACCACTAGCATAATAAGATGCATTACATGAAGAACAGTGTGAATGAGCCTTAAAGCGGAGTTCCAGACGTTTTTGTGTTTACTAAAAGTCAGCAGCTATAAAAACTGTAGCTGCTGACTTGTAATAAACACACACCTACCTGTCCCAGGATCTAGTGATGTGCTCACCCACACACATCCCTTCTCTACGGCACTGGCATCTCAACTGTGGGCTGCAAGCTGTGACAGCTTGCGGCTTCAAAGCTGGGTGCCCACTGCGCATGCGCACGTCGCACATCCTAACTGGTCCGGCAGTCTTCTTAGACCTGTGAAGGTTTCCAGAAGACTGCGGGAGGAAGGAGGGGGCTGCTGAACCTCTGGGTCACTTTGCCACGGTGAACTGGGCCGGAAATGGAAGCAGGTACCCGTCAAGTACCAGCCCCCCCCAAATGTGCCAAATATGGCAGTGGAGGGGGAGTCAAACAAGCAGAGCTTCCACTTTTGGGTGGAATTCCACTTTAAGTCTGCCCCACCAATGACTGTCCACTGAAAAAAGAAGGGTCCATAGATTTTATGTTACTGGGCAGAAAATAGATGAGGAAGAGTTTTTTTTTTTTTTATTATTACAATGAGAGTTGGATGGGGGAATGAAGATGATCTTTCAGGAACTACAAACTTTAAAGAGGGAGTGGATCTCATGGCAATGCTGATCTGCTGGCAGGCGATAGAAATATGACAGCTCCCCTTCTGATCCCATCAGAAGCCCGCCTCACCTGAGATCTCTCTTTATGGTCCTTCTGCCGGGACTTCAACGCTTTCCTGAAAGCCGCAGACATTTTGCTCTGCTGTGTTCTCTATTCACATACAGCTACCAAACAGCATGGATGGAATACAGGCTCACTTCCGTCGCAGCGCCTGACGTCGAGAGGACGTCACTCACCATGCGCCGCTCATATGCGTTCCACCCAACGGAACCTGTCAGTGCTGCGTGTAGGGCGGCATTTCCGGATATGGACGCTTCTGTGTGTCGATGTCTTGTGTTGGTGAGCTGCGGTCGGCACATGGTAGCTGCTATAGAAAAATGCAGGAAATCTGGCTATAATCGAGCAAGGAAAAATAATAAAGTGAATGTCGAGATAAAACGCTCATCTTTATATTAAAATTTACAAAGCATTTAGGAGGCACCAGGGCTTTACAAATCATTATTTAAGGTACTTAAGTAATATATATATTATACATTCACATCAGACCCTAACCCTCAAGGGGCATGCAATCTAAGGTCCTCAACTCACATTCATATACAAGGGCCAATTTAGACAGGATCCAATTAACCTACCAGCATGTCTTTGGAGTGTGGGAGGAAACCCACACAGGCACAGGGAGAACATGCAAACTCCAGGCAGGAGGTGCCATGGTTGGGATTTGAACCAATGACCCTAGTACTGCCAGGTGGAAGGGCTAACCATTTAGCCACTGTGCTGCCCAACCAATCATGGTAAAGTATGAGGAAAATGGTCTGAAATTACACTGCTGTAGGAAAATCACAGCTTCTGCAAAGCCTGGTCAGAAAAGCAGCATGCTGAGTTGTCTTGTGTATAAACTAGGACAGATGGTGTGTTCAGTGCACCCCCATCATCACAAGAGCCAGTGTAAATCTGCTTTTATTGCTTGTTCTCAAACCCTCACATTCAATTCACAGTAAGCCTTCACTTGTCCGCACATCCATAGTAGGACTTCTCTCCACAGATCACATGCCCCCTGAGCTCTTTATCATCCACATATCCATAGTAAGCCTTCTCTCCTACACAGATCACATAGCCCCTGAGCTCTTATTCATCCATAAATCCTTATAGTCCATAAATCCTTAGTAGTCCTTCTCTCCTCCACAGATCACATGCCCTGAGCCCTTATTCATCCACAGATCCCACACATCCATAGTAGGCCTTCTCTCGTCCACAGGTCACATGCCCCCTGAGCTCTTATTCATCCATAAATCCTTAGTAGTCCTTCTCTCCTCCACAGATCACATGCCCCCTTAGTCCTTATTCATCCACACATCCATAGTAGGCCTTCTCTCGTCCACAGATCACATGCCCCCTGAGCCCTTATTCATCCATAAATCCTTAGTAGTCCTTCTCTCCTCCACAGATCACATGCCCCCTTAGTCCTTATTCATCCACACATCCATAGTAGGCCTTCTCTCCTCCACAGATCACATGCCCCTTGAGCCCTTAATCATCCACACATCCATAGTAGGCATTCTGTTCTCCACAAATCACATGACCCCTGAGCCCTTACTCATCCAAAAATCCACACATCCACAGTAAGCCTTCTCTCCTCCACAGATCACATGCCCCCTGAGCCCTTATTCATCCGCACATCCATAGTAAGCCTTCTCACGTCCACAGATCAAATGCCCCCTAAACCCTTATTCATCCACACATCCATATTAGGCCTTCTCTCCGCCACAAGTCACATGCCCCCTGAGCCCTTATCTCCACATCCATAGTAGGCTTTCTCTCCACAGATCCCATACCACCTGAGCTCTTATTCATTCACAAATCCACACATCCATAGTAAGCCTTCTCTCCTCCACAGATCCCATACCCCCTGAACCCTTATTCATCCCACAAATCCACACATGCTCAATGAGCCCTCCCTCATACACACATCCACATGCAGTGTTGCCAACCATCAGTATTTTTACTGGCAGCCAGTACAAAAACAGGCAATTTTCTCCTGCAAGTAAATGCCAGTGACAGGAAAAGGTTGCCAGGTAAAAATATGGCTGAGACGCTCAATTCCCAGTCTGGAGCCAGTCGAAATCATCCGAGATTCTGCTACAGTGTGTTTTGGCAGCGGTGATGGGTCTGGCAGAGGCATTTCCTGAGCGTATCATGTGATGTCATGGTGGAAAGGAGTCGAACGGAGCATGGTGCAAGGGAGCCATGGTCAGAGCCTTGTGTGCGGCAAGGCAAGCCGGAACCAGGACTGTCTGTGCTGTTTGGACTGAAGGGACCACCTAGCATGGAGAGAGACTGTCACTGTGACTCAGGAGGGGACATGTCATGTCGGTGAGGTGTCATCGTCATCATTTGTGCTGCTGCACACTGCCATAAGTGTCACTGTGAGAGTCAATTTCATGTGTGTGTGCCTGCCCATTCTAATTTCTTGTCCTCCTGAGTCCTTTCCCTGAGCTACTTACTATATTGAAAATAAAATATTTCTTTTTTTTTTGTCTTAATATCTACCTAACATCACATCACTAATTGCATATTGTACTTGTTTGTAGCCTAAATACTGAAACTTGCACTTAAAACTGTAATTCTTTAACTTTTGGAAATGCCAGTAAAAACATGGCTGTGCTAGTAAAATTTGGGAGTCATGTCAGTGAATTTCAATCTGCCAGTGAGCCCTCCCTCATCAAAAGTTTCAACATGTACAGTGGACCCTCCCTCATCCACAAATCCAATCATGCACAGTGAGCCATCCCTCCTCCAAAGATCACCACATGCCCAGTAAGCCCTTCCTCATCCACAAATCGGTATCATTACAGTGTGCCCTTCCCCCTCCACAAATCCACACATGCATAGTGCACCCTCCCTTGTCCATAAATCAGCATATGCACAGTGTGCCCTCTTTCACAAATCCACACATGCCCAGTGAGTCCCTCCTCCGCAAGTTCACACTTGTGCAGTGAGCCCAGGACATTGCTAAGTCACCCCCAGCTACCCAGTGAGCCTTCCTTCATTCACATAAATCAACACCAGCACAGCGTGTCCTCCCTTGTCCACAAATCCCAACATGCTCAGTACACCCCACCCTCATCCACAAAGCCACACAAGCCTAGTGAGCCCTGCCTCCTCCACAAATCCTCACATGAACAATGAGACCTCTCTCATCCACATTTCCACACTTGCTCAATGAGCCCTTTCTTGTCCACGAATCCATACATGCCCATTGAACCCAGGACATTGCTAAGACACTCCCAGCTGCCTAGTTTGCCCTCCTTCATCCACACAAATCAACATCAGCGCAGTATGTCTACCCTTGTCCATAAACCCCAAAGTGCACAGTACACCCACCCTCATCCACAAATCCACACATGCCCAGTTACCCTTCCCTCGTCCACAAATCCATAGTAAGTCTTCCCTTGTCCACACATCCTTATTAAGCCTTCCCTCATCCACAAATCCACACATCCATAGTAAGCCTTTTCTTGTCCACAAATTCACACATGCCTCGTGAGCCTTTATTCATCCACAAATCCACACATACACAGTGTAACCTCCCTCGTCCACAAATCCACACATGCCCAGCTAGCCTTCCCTCGTACACGAATCCACACGTGCACAGTTCACCCTCCTTCATCCACAAATTCCAACATGCACGGTGCGACCTCCCTCTTCAAAAAAATCAACACATACCCAGTGTGCCCTTCCTCCTCCACAAATCCACACATACACAATGAGCCCTCCCTCTTCCACTAATCCACACATGCACAATGAGCCCTCTCTCATCCACAATTCCACACTTGCTCAGTGAGACCTCTCTAATCCACATAAATCAACACCAGCACAGTGTGTCCTCCCTTATCCACAAACACCAAAGTGCACAGTACATCCACCCTCATCCACAAATCCACACATGCCCAATGATCCTTCAGTTGTTCACAAATACACATTTGCACAGTGAGCTCTACTTCATCTATAAATTTGCACATACCCAGTGAGCCCTTCCCTCCTCCACAAATCTATACATGCCAAGTGAGTCCTCCTTCCTCCACAAATCCACACTTGCCCAGTCAGCCTTCCCTCCTCCATAAATCTACTCATGCCCAGAGAGCCATCCCGCCTCCACAATTCTACTCATGCACAGTGAGTCCTCCCTCCTCCACAAATCTACACATGCCAAGTGAGCCCTCCCTCCTCCACAATTCCGCACATGCCAAGTGAGTCCTCCCTCCTTCACAAATACACACTTGCCCAGTGAGCCTTCCCTCCTCCACAAATCTACACATGCCCAGAGAGCCCTCCCACCTCCACAATTCCACACATGCATAGTGAGTCCTCCATAAATCTACACATGCCCAGTGAGTCCTCCCTCCACAAATCCACACTTGCCCAGTGAGCCATCCCTCCTCCACAAATCTACACATGCCCAGAGAGCCCTCCTACCTCCACAATTCCACACATGCCCACTGAACCCCCTCCCTTACACATGTCCATAAATCCACACATGCCCAGTGAGTTCTCCCCTTGACCACAAATCCAAACATACACAGTGAGCCTTCTCTCTTCCACAAATCCACACATGCCCTATGAGCCTTCCTCCTCCATAAATCCACATATATGTAGTGAGCCCTCTCTCCTCCACAAATCCACACATAAACAGTGAGTTCTCCCTCCTCTGCAAATCCACACTTGCTCGGTAAGTCTTCCCTCCTCCATAATCCCACATATGTACAGTGAACATTGAGTACTTGACAAAAAAATGCAATGGCATTGGTTGTGTCACAGTAGAGAAAAAACTGCACCGGCATAAATGGTGTAAAAAAAAAGTCCCAGCATCAGTGGTATCACTGCAGGGAAAACTTGCCTCGATGTCAGTGGTATTTTTGGAATGGAAAAATGCCCTGGAAGGAAAAAATGCATTGGTTGTACCACTGAAAGAAAAAACCTCCCGGCATCCATGGTATTGACCTTGTGAGATTTTTTGTTTCTTTTCTGCGCTGTGTGTCCTTGAAGACTAGTGCCCCAGTGTAGGATGCTGAGGAAAAGAAAATATGTGGATAGTGAGGTGTTCAGGGAGGAGTGGAAAGGAAAAACAGACTGCA